GATTTAGGTATTACGAAAATTTCACTTAATTGTTATATCAATTCTGAGCAATGAGTATTTGATTCAATAGTTTTCTTTCTTGTGGGCTTATTGTAGACACTAGAATTCACAGTAGTCCATATTGATTTAGGAGTAGCATTCACAGGTTGATTCTTATAGAATTCTGCTTCAGCCGTTCTTATAGAATTACCAAATGATGATTTTCACTGTCCGGAAACTCTTTCTTTTTATACAAATACTTATCTCTCAGTTTTATGTTCTTTTTGATACTGTCTCTGAACCAAGATTGTGATTTGTTTTATATCTTTATTTATTTGTGAAACTGCAATTCTTGGAAATATCGTCATTAAAAAATTCAAAAATTTTATTTGTAGAAAATCTAGTTCAAACAGTTTTTATAATGAGTCTTCTATTGATCCCGTAGATTTTTATAAGACCAGATACTCCTTGAACCAAAAAAGCCATCGGCAACTATATACAATCTAAAATCGAATTCTAATTCTTGAGCAATATTTTCGAGTAGGTCCATGGAAAGACCATAACAACAATTGGTTTTATATTTGAATTTCTGGAACGGAAAAAATCGATCTTCGTCATCGCTATAATCGTTGGTGAATGTTTTGTATTCTGTATACTGACTTCCTTCTTGTTCCTCGTCTTCTTCTTCTTCTAATCGAGCCATTTCATTGAATACAAGGGTAAGGTTATCCTTGTCGGAGGTGAGAACTCGATGACATGGAAGACCTGTAAGGAGATAATAACCAACTTGTATTGTTTGTTGGTGACTCAAAGTGTATAACTCATTTCTAATATATTGATAGGAACTTGTGATGCACTGTTTGGAACGTTTAGTGTAGTAATGAACATTACTGGAATTTTTTCAACACCAAACCTTTGTTTCGACCCCTCGGAAGGTGTTTTGATCCCCAAGTGATCATCATCAAGAGAAATATCAAACTGATCTTGTCGAGATGTTGAAATGAAGGTTTGGTGCTGGAAAAAACTCCAATAATATTCATACTGATAGGAAATCAATCTCAGTACTTAATTTTATTCATGAGAATATTTTACGAAATAACACTTTTTTTTTAATCAGCACTAATTTATGATGAAAGTTGCGAGTGAGAAAATTTGGCTTGAATCAAAAATGTGGGAAACTAATCGCAAAGGAGACACATATCAAAAAGTCAGTTTCGGCATATAGAAGAATATTTTCCTATAATGGGCTTGTTTCATCCTATGAAAAATGATACTGGTTGCTTATAGACTGATCGAGTTAGAGGTATATCATACTTATCGTGCTTATTCGGTCCCAAGATCTCTTTATATTTGCAGAAAAAAAACAATTCGAAAAGCAAGAATTCAAATTAACCGCGTGTCTGTTGACCAATAAAATTGATCGTGTCTAGAGCGGAGTTGCCAAGTGTATTGGTTTCTAATAATCCAATCACAGATCTGATGATCCAATTTGATAGACGCCATTTTTGTTGTTATTGTTGTCAACCCTGTGTGGATACAACTGTTACAATAATCTAATTAACTAAGGTTTTTTTTTTGTGAAAGATAGGTCTTGGCAGGTGCCTATTTTGCTGTATATTCCGTGTCATTAGTTTTCATTCCGAAAAATATTTTTTCGGGTTATTTTTGGGATTTCAAACACCAAAATGGTTTAAATATGTTTTATATCTAGTTGTAAAAACAGATCATCCATACCAGATAAAAAGTTTTTCAGCGTTCCAAAAAACGAAACTTCAAGAGATCTATGATTTTCTTCAGTTGGCCGAGCGAAAATAAAAATTAAATCAAAACTTTCCATCCTTCGATGAAAGACAACGTCTGAAATGAATGTCATATAAATAAAAGGCACTTACTAAATATACCACCTACCGTTTCAATTAATTATTCTTCATTTCGGTATCAAAGTATTATAGAAATAATTTAAACAGTGACTATAAAGGTTCAATTTAATGCCAGAAAAACTCAGGCATCGATTTTCTCCGTAGAGATTAATGTCTCCGAACCGAATATAATAATGTCAGGTCAGACAGTTCAGCTATCTGCTTCGATAAGTTTTTTGGGGTTAAAATTGACACCAAAATGTCTTGGCACAATCATGTCGCTGGAATTGCAGAAGTTGCTTCTCAAAAGCTTGGAACACTATTCCGAAACGGAAAACTGTACACACTTCAGCAAAATTTGATGCTTCATAAAGCTCAGATCAGATCTTCTTTGGAGTATCGTTCTCATGTATGTAGCTCCGCATACATACCCTGAAGTTTCTGGATTCCATCCAGAAAAGAGCCATGAGCTTGATTGGAGACGCAAACATCACTTGCAACATTGATAGTAGCCCAAAATTATCGAAGTATAAAGCGCAATATTCTGATAATTTCTTTGAATTTATATGAGAAAACACGTCATTCTCTGCTAGACACTTCGTAAAATGTAAATAATATGCTGGGCACCTTTAAACATCAATAAATCGTGTCTGCTCAAAAAATAAAATCAGATGTTCAAATTTCTCAGGCTACGTATAGTGGGAATAAGCACATGAGTCAAAATATTGCATTTTTGTATTGAGTCTTATTCATCGACAATAACTGCAGATGCATGACTGTGTAAAATCACATAAGTCAAACACGGAAAATAAATAGGTTAAAAAAGATTGCGTATATACACATTAGTCGAAATGTTATGATTACGGTGGGTATAATAATATAAGTCAGACTTATGTAGTTTCATACTACCTTTTCTTAACTGAAAAGTCACATAAGTCTGACTTAAGTGATTTTACGCTTGACGTGTGTTGCGTGAATTTTGTTTCGAAGTTTATTCCGGTGTTTATCATTGTTGGTAAGTGGTACGTAGGTACTTTCTATGCCTATTTTTGAAGGTGCAACGATGAGTACTAGAACTAGAAAACTTGTGGAATTAGCTCGCAAACGAATTGAAGTTCTGAATGATGGTGAGCTTTATTTAAAACATTCGTGTCGGGGATGAGTATACATGTTTTGAATGGTTTGATGTTCATTCGAGATATATTTTGAATGACGATAACTTTTTTTTTCAAAACAAATGGTTTTTTTATTACTGGAAGAGGTGTAGATATAAGAAGAAGGCGTTTTTGTTTTTTACTGTGTGGCAGATCACACGTCGAAACGTCGGCAAAAACACTTGTTTTTTTAAGAAAAAATCTATCCTGGTATGCAACCAACCTTTTTTCATAAAAAAATATTGTATCAATAAACTAGTTGTGAGTGATACACTGACAACAGATTGATGAGCTCCTATTGTAGTCATGACTCTAACACCAATTAAAAGCAAATTGTCGAGTGAAGCGTCACGTCAATTATTGGGGGTATTCTGTTCAGAGAATTTTCCAGTAATTGTCCTCTAATTGTAGCTATCAACATAACAAGTTGTCGATATAAGATTCAGCAACATTGCGTATTTTGATATATCAACAGAGTTTTTAATAATCAAGGTACTCTTCGGTATCGAGTACTGAGACCATAATGTTGATGATTTCAATCTTTTTGACAACTCTTCAAATTAAACTAACAAGGTATTATCGAAACAAGAATTTACCTTGGCTTTCATTTTTCAGTCCGTAACGTTCCTGTAAGCAATTTCATATTTTTCTCTTGATGTGCTTGGTAGCAAATTATTGCAAACATCTATTGCTTTCTAAACAATTTCTGGAGGTATATTTTCCAACTCTAAATCTTCGTATTCCATTATATTCAATATTTGATACATCTGAATTGTTTATACTATAACAATCAACGATAAAACCATTTTCGTTGAGTAAGTTGACAGCAATAATTATGCAGTGCTTCGGTTTTGTTGTTGTGGAAACGCCGACAATGGACTACTTGGATATTGCACGCGAATTGTCGGCGTAGCGTTGGCAACATGGAAAACGTGTCATATCAATCTGACATGTAACAATTCATGACTGACTTGGGTTATCGTGATAAAAGCGATGAGAGAAGTGGCACATTGTATAGCATCCGTAGAAAAAATTTGTTTTGTATTGTATTAAGGTGAAATAAAGACATACAAGAAACTTCCAACGACGGGCAGTATTAACAGTATTGAAACTATTGCTAAGCCTAGGAATATGAGCGTTTTGAGCTTACATTGAGAAATTGCCTATTTCTGGTATTTCTGGATGGTACATAGATTGATACTGAGTATAGTAGTTCCTAAGCATGAAAGTAATTCCTAAAGATTTTAAACATGGAGGCCATGTCGGAGATGATTCATAGTTTTTCTGATAGCAAAATGTTGAATGTCAATCTAGCTGAATGTAAATTATCAACGTTATAAACACCATTTACCCTGAAGTTTAAAAATCTAATGAATTCATTTTGGATTCTCCCAAGTATAACCTTATACATTATATTTGTTCATGGTATATTCGCAATGTAAATTGAAACTCAATCTATTGTCAAAGATGACTCCCAAATCCTTATTATAGTTGACGTTGTCCAGACTTTTTCCAAGTAGTCAAATTCAATCAAATACTGATTTTTGTCGGTCTGATTTGGGTTTACTGAAATCATTGGATTGAATATTTCAAAGTTTTTCTGATTTGTGATACTATTCAGCTACTTCAAAATCAAAACTATGTTTTTTTCTTCAATATAACATTCATGTTTCAGATTCAAATTCGATAACTTCAGAATCGAACTTGGTAACTAATCAAAAGAGTGCAGTTGATTAAGAAAAAAGTAATGGAGGTAACTCACCTCTAAGACACTGTCCATCCTCGTCTAACTCGCTTTCCATCACAAAAGGGGGCGATAGCGCAGTAACTACTCTGAATACGGTCCTAGCTCTTGTGGAAACAGCGGCCACGGAAAGATCACCTCCTGGCCAAATGATAGTATCCAATCTCACAGATCGACCCGACACCATTCCCACACGTTTCCATTTGACGTTGGTTAAAATAGACGATATTTCTGCAACAGTTTAGGCTTTTTGTTTTTCCCAATAGCTTTTACGTGCATTTGATTAACAAATGGAAAGCAGAGTGAAAATTCTTCATTCAAATATCAAAATCAACACGAGTTTACTATGTATACAGTAGATGTCAAAAGTCCCTGAATGGTCACTACACTCCACAAAGTCATTTTTACCAAATTCAATATTGAGGTATGGAAAATAATCAGGGTAGCATTTTTGAAGATCATGGAATGTCGATAACAAAGTGTTTGATCGAAGGAAATATATAGAAATATATGGAAACATATTGGGTTGAATCTACATCTACTGTTACAGCATTCCATAACCCGTGCAGATAATAAAATTGTTTCATCAAGATGGATGTTCGGGCAACGTACCGCGCGTTTCGCCCAATTTACGATCGCCATAATCATCCTACATAGATTACTATTTGCAATGTGGTGGATAAATTTGAAATCTAAAGGAATGAGAGGTTAACTAGTTTAGTGATCCAATAATTTTTCTGAAAAACGGGTTGGTTGGGTAACAGGATCAATTTTTTCCTAAAAACTCAATTGTTTTCTTGCCGACGTTTCGAATTTATTTAAATTATTCTCCAGGGCTCTGTAACAATGAATTTTCATAATCTTATGCGATTATAATCGTTTCAATTTCACAAGAAATGAGCTTTGAATGTTCAAGCCCGTCTGGGATATACCTACACAGTAGGTTGAATGGACTGACACCTACCAGAAAACAACTACTCCCTTGGCTATTACCACGAACAGCGGTGGATTATATTCGACAGGTGACATAATGACATCAAACGAATGAAAATATCGATGATATCTCTCACACACTCTGTTTTGTCAAACTTCATTCTGAAAAAATTCAGAGTGAAGTAACCAAAAGATACCAAATTTGAAAAAATCGCTCTGCACATAACGTTTCTGACGTTTGGCGTAGGCTATGCATCATTTGGATAGAAGGTTTGTTGGAGTGAAACTTTGTTTTCAGTTCCACTCAGTTGCCTAGGCGATGTCTTCAGAGATTCAGTCCCCGTTTGAGTGATTACAAAAGTTGTAATCCATTGGAAAAACCGAATAGTTCCACAGTTCATTCACAGTTATTCTGAAAATTAATTCCATAATATATTTTTTATATTCGAAATTTATTTGAGGTGAAATAGTCTTCAATCATTTCGGCTAGATTTCTGTTAAACTCACAAAATTTTCCAGTAGAGCAAAAAAGGATGCTGAAAACAGCTTGATTGGACCAGAACCTGCCATTCCCAACCAGCAAAATTGTTTTATAATTTCATGGTGCTCCAACAGTTTTATTTTGTTGGTATTTTATGATTACTTCCAAAATGCTAATTGATTATATTAGACGAGCCGTGAATATAATACAGTTGTAGGCAATAAAAGTGTTTTATAAGTTTGTCATAGAAACGTTTATAAAATAAAATTATAAATACGTTATAAAATAGTCACGAAATTATCACAGAAACTTTCTCACAAGTAACTTATAAAACATATTCTCTTATAAAATCAAATTGTTTTGTAGAAGATTTACAGCACTTTTCTGTGAGGTTTTTATGCTCTTTATAAAACTATTTCAAGATTATTTTATAACTGCTTCCTGAAGTTTTAATAAAATTATTTTATTGGAATGCTTTCAAATACAATTTTGTTTGCATTGCCATATTGTCACTTTAATGATAATATCCCAAGTATTTCATAGTATGGTGTATTAACTACAATTCCAGAACAATAAAATAACTGTTATGAAACCAAATTGTTTTCTCTAATATATATTTGCTATCGCCACAATTAAAATGCATCACTTTAGAAGAACCAGCTGATATTGATTTTAGAGATCGTGTAATGAAGTATGATTTGTCAAGTTTAATTTGACTAGCGTCCCAATAACTATATGCCTGATAACGTCGTGTAATATTGGTCACTGGAAAAAAATTGAGAAAAGTGGTTTGTTTCAGACGAAGACCCACGTAACCTAGTGTTTCAAAAACAATAAAGTTTACTATGGGAAATGCGAAATATAAACAATATTTCTATTTTTCACAATGATTTCTTTGTTTTCTGATAAATGGATGTTTCATGCATGATTGATTCTTACCTGATTCGGTTCTATTGTTATAAATACTAGGTTCCGGAACTAAATTGAGGATTTCGAAATTCGCAACTAATGATTTGTCCACTTTTTCAACGCCAATTTCTTGTGTGAATTTTTTTCCAGCTAAGGCATTGGTACAGGATACTTTGAGCTCTCTGAAACAAAAGTCAGTTTCAGTTTGAAAACTCCATGCTCGTAACATATCCTAATTTTTTTTTATTGTTACTGAGAATGATAGTACTGAAAAAGTACCCAGTATCAAAACATAGAACAAGAAAATTCAAATCGATTCTTGGGAAACTTGGTCATATAATAAAAGCATTGAATGCAATGGAATAAAATTGAAATATAATGAAATAAGTGAAAGAGCAACAATTTTACATCCATAGAGGAGGACCGTTTCATTTCTTATACAGGGCGGTAATTTGAAAACTTGGCTATATCTGAGCAAACAAATAAAATGAAAGAAATCACTGATAACAACTTCGATAACATGAAACAAAATGATGTAAAACTCAATTTGATCTTCTTCTTGAAGATGATAATTTGGTGATCGAAACACGTGTCGGGGTGTTAAAATAACGTTTTGGTGTTGGAAAAAACACCAGTAATATTCACCCCCTTTTTTTACTTTTTACTTATCAACCGAGTCAAATTTTTTCAGGTACAAATAAACAGAGATAATACATGTGTAAAATGTTCCAAAAGTTTCCATATTAATGCTATAATAATAATAATAGTCATTAATTTCCTTAAGACAGTTACAAAAAAATTGATTTCACCCCAAATTGCCACGACAAATATTCATCCAGTTTATAAAAACACTGTTCTGTCAAAAATATTTCAAATTATGTTTGAATGATTGTTTTGTCAAGCAGTTTCTCACATTTGAAGGAAGAGCATTATATATTCTAGGAGCCATATGACTGGGAGATTGGTGAGTTATTTTGAATTATCCAAATGGAATTGAAAAATCATTGTTTTGTCTTGTACTGAAACTATGATTTTGTACGTTCCTCACATGAATTTAATCATTATTGTCGAATACTAGCATACTCAACTCTGATGTGACTAGACAAGGTAATGTTAATATTTTCAGTTTCTTAAATATATCTCTGCATGAATCAGTCTGTGAAAGCCCTGTCATTGATCGTAAAATTCGTTTTTGTGCCACGAAGATATCTTTTGCTAGGGTAGATGAACCCCAAAATATCACACTGTATCGTAGCCTACTGTCAAGTTGTGCATAGTAGAGCTGTATCAATTGATCAATATTGAGTATATGCCGCAAATTGCTAAATTGAAAGGGAATCGAACTCAACTTTGAGATTAAGTAATGGGAGTGAGCCTTCCAATTGAGATTTTTATCTAATCGTTATCCTGAAGAAAATTATTTGATCCGAACTAGTTGAGATCGATGGACCCGATTCGTATGATTGGAATGCGTTCTCGAAGTATTTGGAAACAAGTAATTTGCTGAAAACCATTCATTCAAAGAAGTCAACACCTCATTATATTTATCACGTAAGGAAGGGTCCATTTTTCCAGATATGATTAACGAAGTAGCATCAGCGTACATTGTGGAGGATGCAGGTACAGAAAGTTTATCCAAATCATTAATATAGAACAGGAACAGAATGGGCCCCAATATGGACCCCTGAAGGACACCAATGTCTTTTTCAGTTTGCTGTGAGAAATGAGTGTTGATTTCTACATATTGTGTACGTGTGACTATAAATGATTTCATCCAATCTAGAGGACAGCCTCTAATACCGCGCTTATACAGCTTTTCCAGTTGTATGTCGTGATTGATACAGTCAAATGCCCTGCTGAGGTCACAAAAGATTCCAGCAGGGCATTTTTCAGCCTCAATATATTCTATTATTTTTTGATAATAAGAAAACAACCGCAGTCTTCGTAGATTTTTTGTTCAAATATCCATGTTGGTTCCTCGGAATTATATTATATTCATGACATTATTTTATCAAACAAACAATACTCGAATTCTTTGGAGAAAGTTGAAGGTACTGTGACTGGTCTGTAATTTTCAAGGCTCTGAAGACAGTTCTTTTCATACACAGTTGTTATTTTATTTATTTATTCATTTATTTATTCATTAACGGGTAACACCCAATTAAATTTAAGAGATTTCACAATAAATTATATGAATACAACAAATAATTACATCTNATTAATATTTTGAATGAAATTTCAAATCAGAACATCAAGACTGAATTGTTTTTTAAAATTATTACTGCAAATTTTCTCTTTACTTCGAAATAAATTTTACAACTGTCCGCCCTCTGTTGGAGACTTACTGCATCTCATTATTCCTATAGAATTTAAGACCTCAAACCAATGCTCAAACTTTATTACGTTGTTTGAGAGGAATTTTACGCCGTCTTCGTGCGCCGCCTGTTAAAGATTTATAATACTAGTGACTAGAACTTAAAAAAAAAGTATTTTTGACAATAAATCGGACTAAAAAGTGAAAAATAAATATAGTTTAAAAAACTAATAAACACGCTCTTGAAGAACATCGAACTAAAGAGTTGAAAATTTTTTTTAAATGAGCTCAAAACAATAACGAACGAAAAATACTAGTATTATTGTAAAAAAAGCGTGGGCGCTTTGTGCCATATTTTTTGTATATCAAGCCTTTTTTCACAATAATACTATTATTTTTCGTTCGTTATTGTTTCAAGCTTATTTTAAAAAAATATTTTTACATTTTCAGTTCGATGTTCCTTAAAAGCGTGTTTCTTAGTTTTATTTTAACTCGTATATGAACAGAGGAACAGGGAAAAATTATTGGTTGCAAGAGAAATCTGCTCATCAAAATCTATTCAATGAACTTTGGAACACTGCATGAAATCACTCAACTGTGAAACACATTTTTCGTGAAATATAAATAACCTGTTATAAAGTCGTATTTCCCTAAGGAAGTTTGCATATTTCACCTGAACAAGCTTCTCACAACCATTTCCTCTCCACAATAAGAAAACTGTTTACTTCACTTCAGAAATAAAGTGAAATAACGAATCCTCGAGAAAAAGAATCTAATTAGGTTCAGTATTTTGTTACAATGTAATTCGATCTAAACGGCAGCAATTTATGGCCTCGAATCATTCGGAACATTTCATTTTAGATGAATCCCTGTTTTAAGCTCTAATAAATCTGAAACGATGCCTGCCAAGCTTTCGGAGATAAAAAACGATATAAAATTCACTGTATCGGTATTGTATTCCATTTTGAACTATTCATGTCGTTTCAGGTGAATTCGTTCTACATTGTGTTGAATTTTTCATAAGGACAGGATTACCTGCTATCCTGAACTGAGGAGGGGATCAGTGGGAGGAAATCAGGGATTGGTTATTCATGAATATGTGTGATCAATATAGATATGATAATAATAATAATAGACCGATAACATGCTTGAATTCGTGTTATAAGTTGTTTACAAGCATCTTATACCCACGAATACTCACCGCAGTTGACTGAGTGTTCGAACGGATATATGAGCAGAGAGGGTCGAAGAGAGGAGTCGCTGGATGTAAAGAGAACCTGCTCATCGATAGATATGTAACGCAGGACTCGATACAATATAAGCGTAACCTCTCTATGGCCTGGATCGATTACCGTAAGGCATTTGATACAATTTCGCATGNCCCACCCTCAGGCTCATACAAGCTAATAAGCCTGATGTAGTCCTTCTCGACCACCAGACCAAAACGATATTTGTCGTGGAGTTTTCAGCTCCTGGCGAGACGAATATCGTCAGAAAAGGGGAGGAAAAATGGATAAAATATCGAGATTTTCTCTTTAACTCCGCAGACTCTATCCAGGTCACTCTGTCCATGGTGGAGCGTGGTCATTGGTTGATAATGCTGGCGCGCCCTCCCGAATGTATCAGGGCTTTGGGGGATAGGGCCTGACCAGCGCACACTACGGTGTAAAAAAAAATAAATAAGCAGGGATGGCCAATAACACCCTTCGCCTTTGGTGAGTTGCGACACCACTTACCCAAGCAACTGGTGCAAAACCGGACCAGCAGCCCAGGCGCACCCGGGAAGGAGAACTCTATTCTCCCTCCGGTGCCGGCCGTGGGGCCACAGAGCTAACCACCCGATGGACCCAACACTTGGTTCCCAATAATCAAGGAAGGGGCCCCCACAATCGACTTGCTCGGAGAGGTCAGAGGCAAGGTGGTGGGGTCCATAACGAAGATTTGCCTACCAATGACAACCTTGGCATGAAAACGGATGCTTTGAGTGGACGCATGAGCTGAGAGATAGCCTTATGCATTGCTACGAGAGTAGTGAGCCCGCGCGAAGAGGGTACATGGCAAGATTGCATGCTCTGTGGTGTGAAACACATCCGGAGCATGCCGCCTTTTCCGCCCAAAACCTTAGGGATTATGTATCTTATCTTCGGCGGCAGGGCTAATTAGCTCCTTACTAGCCTGCTAACGAAGTGGTAGAAGTGACAGTTCTACCACCCGTTGGCACGGCTGGAGAGGAGACTCGCATTATACCACCAATGGAGACGACAATTAGAACACGCAGGGCGCTCCACAGGATTAAGCCCCTGAAGCCACAAGAACTGGCTTGTTTGGATGCGGAGGTTCATAGTGTTCTAACAGAAGAGGCTGACATCTGGCAAATCAACACCGCCGTGTATAACGTCATCCAATCGCTTTCCGAATCGGAAGGACGAAATCCTGGTCTTGCGGTTCGGAAGATTGAACGGCGTGTACACAAGATGGAGGCTAAGATCACGTCGGCGAGACAACACGCGTCTCGTATACAATGTGTGATGGAGAACAGGGCGGCCAATAGGCCTTTCACGCCCGCAGTGTGGCGAATAGCCGTCAATCTACGACGTATCCATCACACTTTAAGCCAAGGCGTGCTGCTAACCACCAAACAGCACTGCCTTGATAGGATACGAATGCTAGTGGCTGCTAAGAAGTCACTAGTGAGGCGAGCGAGAAATATCGTGGAAAACCTTAGGTTCCGCGGTCGGTAGCCAAGCGGTTCGGCGTGGGTGATTTGTTTACTCACTCGAATTGACTGCCGTGTTGATCGGTGGTTCAAGCCCTAGTCTGAACGATCGATCTCTACTTGCTATCGTCCAACCCGTGTTAGGAATCACATGTTGAAAAGTAAGACCTTGTTAATCCTTAGCTCGCACAAGTTTTGA